CAAGGGCTCAAGCAGAAAGCAAATGTTTTGAGAATGATGATGGCAACAAATGTACAAATGTGCTTGACACGATGTATGTATGTATGGATTGTGATAAGAGTTGTACGAGCCCCCAATAACATGATTTAAAAAATTATTCCTACATGTTCTATTATCCTAGATGTTACTGTAAATGGAAATGTTTTCTTTTTTTATATAAATCATTTTATTGGGGCCTCATACAACTCTTACTACAATCCATACAATTCATCCATTGTTATTTTACTTAGTCTATTCTAGTGTATACAACACCAAATGGCTTTAAACGCTACAATTTCACAAAATTCCTCTATCCTTTCTAGAAGCTTTTTGGTAAATTCTTTGTAATTTTCTATATATACAGGATCATGTCAGCTATGAATTGGGATAGTTTTACCTCTGTAAAACTGTAATGTTAGTTGGTTTTTCATAAGCGCCCTTATACATGTTGAGGAATTTTTCTTTTGTCTCTATTATGTTAAGAGTTTTATCAAGAAAGGGTTTTGGTTCTTATTAACTTTTGATTATATATATAAAAATAATGAACCACATATAAATTATAACAGTATAATAAACTCCCAAGTCCCTGTCACCAAGTTTACTTTCAGCAATTATCTATATACAGCCAAACCTACTTTATCTATACTTCCTTACCCCCCAAATACTGTAATGGAAAATAATTGATGTGTATATATATGTACATACATATATGTTCTATAGGTATGTGTTTTTTTGGCTGGGTGCCATTTAGTAGATTCCAAATCATAGTGACCATATGTGACAGAGTAGAACTGTCTTGCAGAGTTTTGTAGTCTATAATCTTTATGGGAACAGTGTCAGGTATTTTGCCTGTGGAGCAGCAGGGTAGGTTTAAACAGGCAACATTGGTTAGTAGCTGGTCATTTAACCATTGCTCCAGCAGAGTTCCTTAGCTGTTATTAAATCTACACTTTGATTATCTAGGTTCACGCAGTGCAGTAGGTAAAAGCGGTAAGTAACACAATGATGATTGGGCAGGGGAGGGAGGTACCTCTTTGTATCTTCAACACCATTGTGGGTTAGACCCCTAGGACTTTTTAGTTACAGAATTCTCAAATTCAAAGGATAGCTCGATCGCTTTCGGAATATGTCTTCCTCCCAATCCCTTTTCCCGTCTCTTATCTTATCTCCTCTAAAAGAGCCCTGGTAGCATTGTGGGTTAGGCATTGGGCTGCAATCTATAAGGTCAGAAGTTCAAAACCACCAGATGCTCCACAGGAGAAAGAGGATGTCTGCTCCCCCCAAGATTTACAGACTTGGAAACCCGATTTGGGTTGCTATCCTTTGGAATCTACTCGATGGCACTGCATTTGTTTTTCTCTCTTTCAGGGATTTAAGATCATACTTTCCTTCAAAGGAGGAAGCATCCTTGTTACGTGTATTCCTACATTGTTCACTCATTTCATTGTACATTTGCTTGACGATTGCTGTCTGATGTCATGAGTATAAAAATGACAATTTCACTGTCTCCCCCTGCCTGATTCCCTACATCTTTCAGGGTTTCTGATGACCTATTTGACTTCTTGCTATAACCATACAATCATACCATCATCAGCAGTATCATATTTGTCACATTAATATGAGCTACTTACTAATCATTTATTATGTTCTAGGCCATATATAAACAACATACATTATCACATAGTCTCAGAGAGGTTAATTTGCCAATGTCATACATGTAATACATATCAAAGCTGGGATTTAAACTCAGGATATTCTGATTCCCAAGCCCAGGTCTTTTGCTGTTAAAAGCTCTTGCTATATTCTTTTAAATTTAAACACTATTGAAGTATCAATCCCCTCTCTTCTATGCTACTCTACTTTCAAGAGATAAGTGTGTTAATAGCTTTGTGTGACAAGTATAAAAGAAATTAAATATATAGTTATTTCCTTATATATGTATAAATACCTCTAGAAGTATTAGAATTTATTGCCCACAGGGCGGGGAACTGGGGATGAGAAGAGTGGGAGCAAGATTTTTCACTATGTATTCTCTCACTTTTTGAATTTTAAAGCTCACAAATATGTTATCTCTTTTAAAAAGTAAATTAAAATAAAGAGAACTCTTATATCTACTCATATATACACATGCCTTAAAAATAATAGCATTATATCTACATAATATTTTCCAACATGATTTTTTTTAAACTTAAGAATTTATCTTGAACATCTTTCCTTGTCCATAAACTGTTTCATTCCTTTTAATAGCTACATGGTTTTCCATTCTGACAAACATTTGGATGTTTCCAGTTATTATTATAAATAATAATACAATGAACATTGGATATTTCTTTCTGTAAAACTTTGCAAGGATAACTTTAAAAATAAATTCCTAGAAATGAAACTGCAAGGTCAACGAGTACATAGAAATCAAATGATCTTAATAAGCATGGTACATTATCTCTTATTTTAGTCAATGGTTCTACCCCACTGCCTTGTTGATATTTCTAATATTTATAAAATAACCTTTCTCAGGATTACCAATTAGATTCCAAATCTCTCCCACCATCTATCCTCAATCCCACCATGGTTTTCTGAACTAAGCAATGATATCCGATATCTAAGTACAGACAAGCCCCTAAATTATGAATAAAATCCATTCCTAAGTGAATTTAATTGAACTTGCAGCTAAGTTTGAATTGGTGCATAAGGTTCTTTACTTTAGCAGTTTCCCAAAGTGGATGATACCACTCCCTGGGGGGGTGGGGGGTGCTGAAATGATCCAGGGGGCTACAGTAGCAGATAGTTATATTTTATCTTGGACTATGGCCTACAGTACCAGTTTTTGTCATTTAATATTCAGTACAAGAAGAGACTCTAAGCCTTTTCAATGCTTGGGCTGGTTCAATTATTTCAGAGTGAGGGCATATTTATATCGCATTAAAGGGCAAGAAGGAGTTGTCTGTAAGTACTCTGAGGATTTCCTGTATTTCCCTATGTACAGCTTCTTCCCTACCCATTTCCTGGTCAGAGTCCTGCCTTGGTAGTATGTTGCTACAGATAGTACCAATATCACTTAACCTCTATCTCCCCATCTCACCTGCCATTAGACATCAATAGGGCCAGCGGGCTCTCATTCCCATCAAAGTCCAAGTCTGGTGAGTCGTCTGAGTCACTCAAGCAGGTACCAGTCATGTTGAACTGCAGGAGGAGGATGCTCAGTTGTTACCTGTCTGATACTCCATGAATCAGGAATGGCTAGTTCTCTCCAGCTTCACTGGTTATTTCATCTTCAAACCATCTGAACCATGGTCTTCTGCTACCCCATTCCCAAGTAATCTTAAGATCAAAAGCCTGAGAATATGTGGCTGGCTCAGGGGAAACCCATCAATCTTATGAAACATGTTCCCTAAAATAGGTACATTATAGGTATTAGATACCCATTAGATATCTAATACCCATTAGATAAAATAGGTATTAGATACCCATGAATGGCACCGCAGTTTCTACAGTTTGGTAGAATTCTTGGAGAAGGACTTTTCTCAAAGTCCTGTTCAATACTCTAACCTGACACTCATACATCATGTTCTTAATTGTCACCCCACCTCCCAACATTTCAAAATTCAAGTGTCATTTCTGACCATCTTCCTTAGGGAGAATGAACTAATCCTTTCTGTGTCTCATGGTCTAAACCACACCCTTAACTGTGGCGTCATTTGTTTTTTTGCCTATACTTCTCACTAGCCTGTAAGCCTTTTGATGGCTGTGTCCACAGCACCTATCACAGTGCCCAGCATAGAAAAGGTCTCAATAAATGCCTGATAAATGAGTGGGACTGGTAGCCAAACACCAGGGGCCCTAAGGGAGGTGGGAGCAGTGCAGGATAGCCTATCCTTTAGATACCCTGCTCTTCTGAGGGACCCAAAAGAGTTGGGCTGAACCCATGGGCCAGCACCCACCTTTGTTTTCTGGGAGGAGCCTGTCTTCAGTGCCTGATGATTGTATGTGTCCATGAGATTATAGCTCAATTGGCCTGCAGGCCCCAAAGCTGAGCTTTCCTTGCCCTTTCGCTCTGCCTTCTTGAAGAGGTCCGTGGGCTTCAGGCCTTTCTTCTTTGAACCACTTTTGGAGGGCAGTGACAGCCTGGACATGGATACTGAAGTGCAATGAGCTGGCCTGGTTAAAGGAATGGAGCCAGCTGGGAAGATCCTCTGCAGCCCAAAGATACTGCTCGTCTTCCCAACGTTCTGTTGGAAGATATCCTATGAGAGTATTAGTACACAAGGGGATTAGAGCTTACTCAAGGGTTATCTCTATGTTAAGGGCAGAGACCTGCCAGGCATTGGCAGTACTGCCATAGAAATAGCTTGCTCAGATGCTTTCTATATAAACGACTTTTGCACAATGAGTCCTCAAGAATTCATTGGATGATATTTATTTACCCAAGTAAAAAGAAAGTGAGCAAAGGAAAAGCCCTGTGATTCAACTGTCAAAACTAAAGAAAAGACTCCAAAAGTAGCTGATGTAAGACAAAAAAATAACTATGCGCTAAATAGTGCAAAGGGGCTTCAAAAATTTCATGGAAAATGGAATGAAAAGATAATGGGTTAATAATTACCTAGAAGCATAGTAATTATTAAAATTATAAAAATAATTATAAATTATAAAAATAAAGGCAAGGATGGAGTGAACCGGGGAGCTTACGAGTAGAAGTGTTCTGAAGTTGTGGTGATGACTGCACAACTCTCCTTAATATTAGTGACAATTAAATTATATGATATGTGAAGTATATGCCAATAAAAATATTGTTTAAAAGATAATGGCATTTTCCTATGAACTTTTTGAAATTCTCCCTCATATACTTCAAACTATAGTGAGCACATGACTTGAGAGGAAAGAGGTTCAGTTCTAATTCTGCTACTAGCTAGATATATGACCTCAGGAAAGACATTTGACCATTTCTAGGACTCTGCTCATTCAGCTGTAAAATGAAAGAATTAAGCTTGACAAGTGTATTTAAAGGCGTCTGTGGCTCCTCTGAGCTTCTCAGGAGGAGCCCTGGGGACTAGATGTAGGTAAAAGGCAAACAGAAGCATATGGAACACTAGACCTCCCACCTTCATCACATTCTGAACAGCTACACTTTAACTGATTGTGTATACTAGACTTCCATATAAGACCTCATTTGAAGAATGGCTGCAAAACATTGGAAGCCATTGGACCAGATAAAACTTATCTTTTTGTCCTCTCCTTTTCAAATCAACCTTAAATTCAATGTAAATAAGATTGGTTTAAGTGAGATGAGTCGAGGAAAAGGTGGGCCTTTAATTTTAAATGAACTCTGAAAGATTCTAACAGGTGGGAGTGGAGCAAAATGTGGTAGTAACAGACAACCCAGGTTTTGATGCAGGCACTGAAACATGTTGCAAACCGTAGAAGTAGAGTAGCTAACTCTGACCACCCTTCAGCATGGATGTATATACCGAATATTATAGAACATTATGTACTTATCAGACTATTGCCGCTTTTGAGCTCAAGTTTAAATACTCTGAAGTCCAATTTTCCTTTGGTGCCTCTGCTACTTCACCAGCCCACACTAGAGTTCTCGCTTTGCTATATAATCTATTAATAACAAAGGCTTACATTTATTGAGTACTTACTCTGCCAGGCACTGTTTGAGTAGCTCTATATACTCTAGCTCTTAATTTTAAAAAATTCTGAAAGGTTGGTATTATTCTCATTTGTGAAATAATTGAGAAACTGAAAGGCTTGAAAACGACAGTGGAAACTAGAACCCAGGTTTTTCTAAGTCTCTGAGCACTATATACCTCACTACCGTATCGTGCATGCCTCCTGCTTAAACATGGGTTTGTAATCATCTTCAACCTAAGAGAACTGTCATTTTGCAAAATGCAGAGATTGAGTTAAAATATTAATAATATCAACAGCTACTATGACCATTAGCACCCACTACCACCATAAACCAACATCAGAATTTATTAAGCTTCTTCAGTGTTCCAAGCACTATAATTAGTGTTCAAATGTAGTGTATTAGTTTATTTAATCCTTCTAACAACCCCGTAGCAGATATAATTTTCCCTACTTTATAGAGATGAGGAAACTAAGGTTCAGAAAGGCTAACTTTCCCCAGGGTTTTGTAATAAACTGCTAAGTTCTTTGTGAGCAGGGACTGTGTATACTAAGAGCTTAGTCACATTTTGTGGCACATTATTCGGTTGGGTTTCCCAAACTTTCCTCCAGGCTCTCATGCCAAATGTAGAGGCCTGACCTGCCACATGAGTCTCAAGCCCTTTCCCAATGTCTTCCCTCTAGCCCTGCTTCTTACTTCCACCAGGCGAATCTCCCTAGCCAGATCTTTAATGAGTTGTACGGTCCGCACTGTCTCTGGGATCTCATCTTCATGGTCTGGAAGAGCCTGTCAAACAAGAAGCATGAGGAATAGACCCCTATGTCAATGAGAAATTGACTTTGACAAAAATATCAAGATAATTCAATGAAAAGAAAATAAATAAACTTTTCAACAAATGATGCAAGTTGGATATCTATATGAAGAATGAAAACAAGATCCTCAATACATATCTCTGTCATATTAAAAAACATCAACAAAAAGCAAAAAATAAAGGCCCTCAAAATGGAATGTAAAATCTAAACTCTTAATATCGTCTAGAAGAAAACAGGGGAAGTTTTTATGATCTTGAGTTAGGCTAGACTTTCTTAAATAAAACAGAAAGAGCATGAACCACACAAACACAAAAATGACAAATTGAACTTAATAAAAATGAAAACTTCTCATTGGAAACCACTGTTAAGAAAAGTTAAAAAATAAAGACCCCAATCTCCAATACAAAAAAAGAGTCATATCCTGAGAGGTATTATTACTAAATATAATTGGGTAAAGGACAGGAATCAAAAGGTACGAGGAACTCAGATGTGTGCTCAGTCCTCACACAGCTAATAAAGGACAGATCACAAAATTGAAACAACTTTTTCTGATTCCAAGGATTGTGCTTTGTCAATTCATTGATTTCATTGAATTAAATCCTTTGTAGATGGGAAAAGGTGTGTCACAAAGTTGAATTTATTGTCAAGTGCTATTCTAGCTAAGGAAAGTTTCTATAAACCCAATTTCAACTTGTTTGAGTACAAATACCCTAAAGCTTTATTACCATCAGGAAATGATGTTTTAGAATAACATCAAAGTAATTTGGAACAGCAAATCAATTTTGTCAATTAAATTATCAATTAATTACACAAACTGTAATTTAATTTCATTAAACTATTTTAAAATATAAAAAATACAGCCAAGGTATTTGATGTTGTGAAATCAGAACAACAATCATACATTATTTCTCACTTTTCAAAAAACAGAGCTGGCACAATAAATAAACTTTGAATTTTTAGAATCTCAAAGTAGACGAATAGATAAATAGATTAGATAGATAAATATTAGAGCCCTCAGGGAAATTAATGGGGAAAAATTATCCTATACATTTGTAAGGACAGAACTCAGTGCTGAACAACTACAAGTGTATAGATATCTCAGTAGCAACCCAGAGAGAGACCTTTCTGGCTGTCTCTTTTTTATTTGTTTGTACTATTTTGGGGTATATGAGATTTACATTTTTATGTATGTTGATCTCTCAAGAATTTTGTTTGTGGTTTCTCCTACTGCTTTTCACTTCACTTCTGTACCCAGAGAACTGATAAAATTTCCTTAGCATTTCCTCTCCCTTTCACACTGTTAATCCATCTGAAATATATTTTGATGGACGAAGGGGGAGGGGGAGAGTAAAGCCATGTGACACATCTGGATAACTTTAATGGCTCACTCCTTCCCTACCCAGTGGTTCTGAAAAGGTGAAGGAGCAGCAATGCTTCCTGTAAGTCATCAACACTTATAAAAGATCACTTCTATGATTTATATCCTACTCTCCTCCAAATCTCTTTGGCCAAGTGCTTAGGCCTATCCCTAAGTTTCTGAGTCCATCCTGGCCAAGGACATGAGTTCTCTTGAGACCCTTTTACCCACTTACTTCTCTTTTGGTGTCCCTGGGACACAGTCAACCATAAGTTTATTTTATGGAAGGGTCAGAGATGAAACTCAAGGTAACCATACATGAAGGGTGTGAATAAACAGATCACAGTCTAAGGTCCAGGTATAGGAGTGTCAGGAAGCAAGGGAAGGCCCAAAACACGAAGTCCAAGGATATCTGAGAGGAAGCTTGGCAAAATGAAATGGTGAGATTGTGCAGGTGAAACTGAATTGGCTGAAAAATGTCCTTAGGTTATTGTTTGCAGAGGAAGGAGTTTGTAAGGAATGATCTTAAGCCTAGGAGTGTATACTGAAAATTTTTTTCTTCCATTAGTTTTTCTAAATTCAACATTTTAATTAAGTAACCCATTTACTTAATTACAAAGTCAAAAAACAAACCTATTTTGATAGCCTCACTTCTACTGCTGTCCTTGTCATCAGTCCCATCTTATTCCCACTTTTATTATTAGTTTCTTATGTATCCCTCCACATTATATCTTTAGATAAATACGAGGGAGCTTCAAAAAGTCTGTGCAAAAATCCCGATATATTTTAATTTTATATTCCATGAACTTTTTCAAATACCCCTGTACAAGTATATACACATCTGGTTCTTGTAGTCTCACTTTGTATACATCAGGTAGCACACTATACACACAGTTCTGTTCCTTTACTTGAAAAATTCTGTAGCTCTCTCTAGACTCTAAACAGAACTCTCTCTTTCTCTTTTACAGCTGTTAGTATTCCATTGAAAACATGAATATTGGCATCTTTCTAAAAAGCCATTTTGGCAGTATGCATCAAGAACCTTAAACACACACACACACACACACACACACACACACACACTTGTATCTCGTACTGTATATACTCGAGTATAGGCCAGTGCTTAACCATTGTGCCCATAACTACCTCTTTCCCCCAAAATAAACAGATAAAAAGGAATCAACAATAAGCAAGTACCATATATACTCATGCATAATCTGAGCTTTTTAGCACATTCTTAATGCAGTTTTTGTGGTAAAATTAGGTGCCTTGGCTGATATTGGGTCGGTTAATACTTGAGTATATATGGTAGTTAGTTAAGGAATGCTATATTCCTGTAAAAGAATATCATGTAATTATTAAGCATTTATGAAGAACTTTGGAGATACTAGAAAATGTTTAAGACAACAGATTCAAATATAAAATTGTAAGCACAAGATGGCAATTATATTTTTAAGATTTAGATTAAAATGATCAGAAGGAAATATGCCAAAATGTTAATGGTATTTTCCTGAGTATTAAGATTTTTCTTATTTATACTCTTCTGTATTTTTCTAATTCTGTAGAGTTAACATGCATTACCTTCTAAAATCAAGGAGAAAAGTTTAGAAATGTTAATCCCAGGAATCTTAGGTCAGTCTACTACTGTAACTCAGTAGTCCACAGGCTTCTCTGGTCTCTCCTGTTTCCCTAAAGTATCTACCCAAAGTCAGTTCCTGCAAAACCCTAGAGAAGGTAGAGAAATAAGTATATTACTTCTTTCCTTGTCCAGGCTCTAAAGGCCAAGTTCAGGGCTTTGCCACCATGGACCAGGTACGAGGCAGGGTGTCTCCTGTTCTCTCGTAAACCTAAAGGAGGAGGAGGAAGAAACAGTGTCAAGGAAACCATGTGGGGCAGTAACAACTTGTTACCTTTGTCAAGCAACCAGAGAAAATGTCCAGGGTTCTAAGGAAAACTGTAGATCTAGATTCATATAATAGTATTCCTTTACTGAGTATCTACTGTATACCAGTCATTTAACATCCATTATATCATTTAATCATTATCCCACTCTATGAGGCAGGTCTTACTACAGTTCAGGAAATCAAGACCCTGACAAATGCCAGAGCCTTGTCTATCTGAAACTATACCTATCTGAATTTGAATTCTGTGTTCATTTTTCTACAACGTATTTTTAAGTTAAAAATGAGAACAGTTAAGAGGACTATGATAGCTACCTACACATATTTGAAGGGCCATTAAAGTAGAAAAGGGAATAGCTGTGTTCTGGGTTATTCTAGGGGTAGGCTATTACAACAGTCAAACTTAGGCTCAAAAAAAATTATTCCACTAAACTGAGCTCTTCAGAACATTTAATAAATACGTCTAATCCCCTAGGCAACTAAGCTTGAGGACTCCTAGGTCTGAGTTACGGACCTAACTCTGTTTTAAAGACAGGAAATAGAAAGCCAGAAAATTGGTTTCCATCTAGATTGATACCCAAGAACCAATGACATTAGACCAGGATGGTCAGGACAGGGTGGTCTCCCCATGGGAAGAGCAACCAGGAAACTCTAATACTATCTATATTGAGTTTCTTACCTTAACTGAAAGGAAATAGGGATCAATTCACTCTTGATACAATTTTCTCAGCTAACTTCACTAAATTAAAAAAAAATTGAAATTCACACCCTTCCTGTTTCTCATTGAATAATAGCCAATCCCAAAAGGTCACACAATGTATGGTTCCATTTATATACATTTTGAAATCACAAAATTATAGAGATAAAAAATAGATCAACAGCTTCCATTAGTTAGGGATGATCTGGTTGGGGGTGGGACTAATTAATACTATAAATGGGTAGCACTAGCACGAGCTTTGTGGTGATGGAATTGTACTATATTTTGATTGCAGTGATGGTTATCTACATAGATATTCACAAAAGAGACAGTTGGCAAAGGGTTCCATACCTCGAAAGATATCAAGGATGTGTTTCCCCACATACCAACAGATGGTCTCAAAGTTGGGGAATTTGAAGAGGTCTGCTGTGCTCAGTCGCTTCTCAATCTCATAGGCTCTGGAAGAAGTATGCATAACAATAATGATAACAGGGCTTCTATTTACTGAGCACCTACTATGTTTCAGGTACTGTTCTAGCAACTTTATATCCATTATCTTTATTCTTTACAACCACCCTATAAGATCCTATCTTACAGATTAGGAAATTTGCATTCACAGGTTACTTGTCCCTAGTCATATAACTGCAATATATGGAACAGGTCTTTGTTCTTAGACTAAAAATCAATAACAACTAATATCCATCCTTTTCTGAATATATCGCTTCTTTTTATGCTGTATTCCCCACCCTAAGGGAGAACACAAGGAGCATACCAAAGCTTCAGGACTCACTTGAGCTGCATTTCTATATTAAGGCTGTGTAAGAAGTTCCCTCCAAAGGCAAGGCAGTCCACAGGGGTCAGCACAGCATGGATCCATCCTGTAAGAGCAGTAAGGCAAAATTATACCATTGGTAAGTAGATAAGAAGGGGTAAGATCTGGTAAGGATGGGAAGTGTGGCAGGGAGCCTTTCTTCCTCTGGAAATTCCCCTTTTCATTCACTTTAACCCTAACTTCTTGGAGCAGTTAGCCTGGCAATAAGTCAGAACATTCTAAGTAGTTCTGCTATCCCACCACCCATTTTTGCCTAATTTGCCATCAGTAAAATCCTGAACTGGACCAGCCAAACCATACTAAAATCATTGCCTTCAAGTCAATGCTGACTCACAGTGACCCCTTTGGGGGTTTCTGAGCCTAGTCTTTTCCCCCAGGAGCTGCTGGTGGTTTTAAACTGTCAACCATGTGGATCACAGCCCAATGCATAACCACTACACCAATTTCTTCCATTTCATTTCTCTTCAAAATAGCTGTTGTCTATTACATATAAATAAGGATATCACTTCCTTGCCTTCTAACTCTGCCCTGGGTAAAGCAAAATGTTTTTATGTCAGATAGTATTGGTTCAAATTCTTATTCTGTTATTTCCTAGTTAAATATCCACTCCAGAGGGCTAGCTGTGAAGCATGAACCTAGCTGGAACTCAATTATTCCCCTTGTCTTTGATGTTGTACCTCTTTCTGGAATCTTCTGATTTTTCTTCTTAAATCTCTCTCATAGTCCTCTTCTCCTCATCTTCCAACCACCTTGGTATAGACCCCTCAGTATTGTTCAAGTTAGCATCCAAACTCTACACTAATGGTTCTTAGGGTGTGGTTCAGGAAATCCTGGGGCTCTCTGAAGACTATTTCAGAGAATGGGTGAGGTCAAAACTATGTTCATGATGATACTAAGATGCTATTTGCCTTGTTTACTTTCAGTTTTCTCACAGGTGTACAGTGCAGTTTCCCAGAAGATACACGAACTGGTATCACACAGATTGAATGCAGAAACAAATTTAAGGACATAGCTGTCTTCTGTTAACCCGTTCATTAGAAACATTTGTACAAATGTAAAATGATGCCATTCATCTCACTACATTAATTTTTTTTAAGTTGCTCTTAATTTTTCTATGAATTAGTAAATATTTTTAGTTTTTCTCACTTTAAGTTTCTAATATGATAAATACAAACCACATAAATAAAAGCTCTTTGGGGCCTCCAATAATTTTTTTAGTATAAAGGGGGTCCCAAAAGGATTTGTTAAGAATGATTAAATCTACAGGCATGTACATATGTAAATATATTTATATATAACAATAGGGAAATAGATCTATGTACATATACTTATATGTTAAATATTAAGGTAGCAGATGGACATCGGGCCTCTAGATACTCAAGTACTGCTCAATGCATGAACAATTTGTTCTAATAACCCAGAATTCTGTGATGCTCACCTTCCTGACATGATTGCTGAAGACAAAATGGGTGCATAAGCAAATGTGGTGAACAAAGCTGATGGTGCCAGGCTATTCAAAAGAAATAGCATCTGGGGTCTTAAAGGCTTGAAGATACACAAGCGGCCATCTAGCAGAGAAGCAACAAAGCCAACATGGAAGAAGCACACCAGCCTGTGTGATCATGAGGTGTCAATGGGATCAGGTAGGAGGCATCAAAGACCCAGAACAAAAAACCTTATCAATGTGAATGAAGGGGAATGTGGAATTGAGGCGCAAAGTCCATCTGTAGACAATTACACATCCCCTCACAGAAGGGTTACAAGGAACAGATGAGCCAGGAAGGGTGCAGTATAGCACCGATGACACATATAACTTTCCTCTAGTTCTTTAATGCTTTCCTACCACACACAATCATGACCCCAATTCTACCTTACAAATCTGGCTAGACCGGAGCATGTACACTGGTACAGATAAGAGCTCGCAACACAGGGAATCAGGACAGATAAACCACTCAGGACCAATAATGTGAGTAGCAATACCAGGAGGGAAGGGGAAGGTACAGGGAGAAAGGAGGAACCAATCACAATGAACGACATATAACACCCTCCCAGGGGGAAGACCAACAGAAACATGGGTGAAGGGAGACAGCGGTTGTTATAAGACATGAAAAAATAATAATTTCTAAATTATCAAGGGTTCAGGAGGAAGGGGGAGGGGGGTGAAATGAGCTGATACCAAGGGCTCAAGTAGAAAGAAAATGTTTTGTAAATGATGTACAAATGTGCTTGCCACAATGGATGTAAGTATGGATTGTGATAAGAACTGTAAGAGCCCCCAATAAAATTATTTTTAAAAATAAATAAATAAAGATTAAATCCACACCATGTGATGAGAATTCTGTATAATTTATAACACCAAGTTGGCAAAGCTAAGAATATGTACCACACTCCTTCCTCACTTGTGGAGAACTTCACAAATCAGTCATGGAACTTAGGTAGGATTCTGTATGCATAAAGTGTTCTAGGCAGTCAAAAAAGAACATTGGTGGTGTAGTAATTATGCATTGGGCTGCAATTTGCAAAATCTGTAGTTCAAAACTACCAGCTGCTCCTCTGGAGAAAGACGAGGCTTTTCTACTCCTGTGTAAACCATCTCGGAAACTCCCAAGGGCAGTTCTACCCTGTTCTGTAGAGTTGCTATTTGCTATGAGTCAGAACCGACTCGATGGCAGTGAGTGAAGCAGTCAAAATAAAATAAAATGAATGACCTACAGCTATAGGTAGCAATATGGATCTTTCAAACACAATTAACAGAAAAATTTAAGTTGAGACTACATCTGATTTCATTTATGTAACGCTCAAAAATATGTAAAACAATACCATGCATTGTTTATTGAGGTATATCTATATACCAAAAGCACAAAAATGTATAAGAATAATAAATACCAACTTTAGGACAATGGTTAGTCTGAGAGCAAAGCATGGGAAAGAATTGAGATGGGGTATATAGGAAACTTCAAATATATTCATAATATTTTATATTTTTGGTTGGATAAGAAATACATGTATAATTTATTATATTATTATTTATATCTTTTGCTATATATGAAATATTTAATTGGCAATTAAACTTTAAATGATCTCCAATTGCCTCTAGGTTAAATTCAAGTCTCTTGGGTCAACTGAGTTCAGCCTGCATAGCTTTTCAGACTTGATCTTTAGGCTTTAGTATTTATATACTGCTCCACACAACCTTGCTTTGCTCATACCTTTCCATATGCATGAAATATCTTTCCTCCTTTTTTCCCCTCAGTCAGTCCCTATTCATCCTTTAGATATCACTTTTCTAGCAGGAAGATTTTCACATATACCTGGCTAAGTTCTCTCATGTAAGCTTCTACAACCTCTGGTGAACTATTAAAACATTATACTGAAATGATCTATTGGTCTTTTTGCCCTAAGTACATACACCAAATGCTGGGGTAAACAGGAGACAATTTTTATATTTGGACGTAGGTAAAATGCACCCATTTATGGACATTTCTACCATGATGTAAATTAATCTCACTTGAACCTACAGTAAAGGAGCCCTGGTGGTGTAGTGGTTACAAGTTGAGCTGCTAACTGAAAGTCCAGCAGTTCAAAACCACCAGCTGCTCCTCTGGAGAAAGACAGGGCTTTCTGTAAAGAGTTACAGTTTTGGGGGCATCGATTTGATGGCAGTGATTTTGGGTTTTCTGAAGCTATAGTAAGCAAATTCAAATCACCAATTACTAAATGTTCATTGTGTAAAAGGCATTATGCTAGAAACAGCAAAGGATTTAAAGACGAGCAAATTAATGTCTTGAAATGGAAAACTGTAAAAGAGAAAAAGCAAGTGAATTGTGAATGGAGTGGGGGTTGTTACGATTTGCCTTACTATATATTAAATATTCTATAAAGCCAATGTAATCAAATCAATGATAATGACACACATATGAATAAACAAACCTGTACAACAGAATAGAAAAATCAGGATCATGTGTCAAATCAATATATAGCAATGGAGGCTGTTTAATTCAGTATAAAAACAATGAATTATAGTGATAGAACAAATGGCTATCTGGGAAAAATAAAATATAATATCCAAGATAAAGGACCTATTGATGGATTGAATGAAAGACTAGAGATAGCATCAAAAAACCTGAAAATGGAACAACAGAAATTACTCAATCTGAATAACAGAAAAAAATAGATGCAAAGAAAAATAAACTCAGGGGCCTGTGCGACCATAACAAATATAGAGTATTCACATAATCAGAGACACACAAGAAAAGGGTATGCAGCTAAAAAAATATTCAAAGAGATAATCGATAAAAATTTTCCAAATATGACCACCCCCAAACCATAGAAACCTACACATTCAAGAAGCTGAGTGAATTCAGAACAATATAAATACAAATATTAGGTTTCCAAGTTTATGAAGCACCGAAGTAGATACATAGAGACAATAATTGATGCAATAGTTTAGCAGAGAAGTAGGGAGGGGAATCAGGGAACAAAAAATACAAGAGCAGGAGGGAACACTCATTGTAATGATGTATATATAGGTTTTTAAAGCGACTTAACTATGGAAGTGTATGCTATCTGAATTTTATATCAATAAAACTATAAAAAATAAATAGAAACAAATAAATCCATGACAAGACATATTAGAGTTAAGCTGCTAAAAATTAAGAAAAAACAAAAAGCAGGTTAAAGTGACACATTATTTACAAAGGAAATACAATTCAAGTGACAACATAAATCTCATCAGAAACCAGGAAGACCAGAAGAGAAGTGGCTCAACCTTTTCCAAGAACTGAAAGAAAAAAAACTATCAAACTAGAATTCTGATGGTCAGCAAAAAATAACCTTTAGGAATGAAGGGGAAAGTCAAGACTTTCTGAGATGAAGGTAAACAGAGAATTTGTTAACAGGTATATCCTAAATGAAAGGCTAAAGGAAGCTCTCTAAATATAAAGGAAATAATTAAAGAAATCACAGAACACCAGGAAGGAAGAAAATAAAATTATTGGCAAATACAATATACTTTGCTTCTTGTAAATTTCCCAAAGTTTAATGACT